GGTGATACTGACAGCTGAGAACTTGATAAAGAGGAGTTACATATGTTGGATCATGCTTTGTGTGTAAATGCTTGAGCGAAGACGTGGATCGCCTCCTGCTGCATTTCCAGGTGCAACACAATTGTTGTGGCTAGTATAATGGACAATGCCGGATCTGTGAAGGATGTACTCCATGTCTGAGCCTTTAGAAGAGGGAACAGAAGACACCATGCATGGGATATTGCATCCTTAGCCCCTTGTAGGGCCCTATGGAAGCAGAGAAATCGAGGACCTTTTGTGGGGTTGGAAAATGACTTTGTACATTTGAGGAATAACCTTTTGTTCTTAGTTTACTTTTCTTTATCAGGTTGTTCTCAGTTAACTTTAGTACACCCATCTGGTCTTTGTTTCTATAGAAGATTGTTTGTCTTTTGTGGAGAACTATATTTCTATTGTTTGTGGTGTACTGCAAGATGTGGGAATAAAAACTAAAAAGGAACAAAACGTATGCCTTATGGCACCAATTGGATGGGATCTCCAATGAGGACATGCTTCTTACTAAGCAATGAGTTCCATTTCCAAATAAAGATTCCTTCTTTTTCTTTAGTTGAAGTTGTAATTAAGGAATATTCTTCAAACTTGTTTTACTCTCTAAATTTTCTCGAGAGATTATTGTCGGCAAATTCTTTTCTCAGTGGTTGTAAATAACTCAGCAACTCTTTTGTAGCCGATATCCGAAACATGGGAATTGTGTCCAATCTTCTTTCAGGACTTGTCAGTTAGTGTTGGTAGTCCTTGTAATATTTTTTTACTGATATTACTCCGTCCTATTTATCCTCGGCTTATTCCACTTTAGCAGGAAGATGCGCCAATTATTGGAAGGCCCACAATCCCTCATATGGATCAGTTAGGGTAAACTATTATACTCTTGACTATTAGCAGCTAGCTCTATATGGTATGTGTTAAATTGTATTGAATATGAATTGCTGATGCTTTATTCATTGAATCAGTGAAAAAATACAGTGGGTACAATGTGAGGACTGTTTCAAGTGGCGAAAAGTTCCTGACAATGTTGACCTTCCATCTAGATGGACTTGTTCAGACAACTCACGCGACCCCGAGAGGTATGATGGAAATTCTTTAACCTACCTATAAGATGCACTTAAAATGTCAATAGAATACATGAAGGAACGCGCCACATGCTCTTGTTAGTGTAAGCGCTGAAGTGGATTGCATTAAGCAATCTGGACAAGCCAAAACCTCTTTAACTCCAATAATCAAGCTTGTCAGTAGAAGAAAAGGTGATGTACTGGTGAATTACTCCTCATGAAATGTGCTTCAAAGGTAGGAGTAAGGTCTGCGACATTCTACTCTCCCCAGACCTACTTTTGTGGGATTACACTGGATATGTAATTGTTGTTGTTGAAATGCGCTTCTGATATTAGATGTTGAAAATCATTTTAAAAATTGTCCTGCTGACACAAATTTATCCTTTTTCTTTTCGAAGGCTAACTGAACCTTGCTATTTGGAATTGGCAATAAGATGAGGTTTTCTATGATTGGTTTCTCCCCTTTTCTTTTAGCAGTTTGTCCCTTTAATCAACTCTGTAGCATTCTTCTTCTCTCTCCAATTTTCTGTTCTTTCAGAAAGTTGACTTTGAACCACCTTCATCATGGGCTCTTGGCACCTGTGCCTGCATTATATGAGTTTTTATCATTAGAAAAGAAAAAAACTTCGTCAGTTTCCATTTTCTACGATTCTCGTTTTCTTTAAGTTACATCTGGCTGTCTGTTACTTTTAACATCAATATCAACTAATGTCTGTTCATTTCCGTCCTGATAAAATAAAATTAAGTTCGTTTCCAAAATAGTATTGACAATTCCTGAATGATCTTAATCATAGATAGAAATACAGAGAGTTAACAATTTCAAAAAAAGAAAGTATTGGCAATTCCTGAAATTCATTCTAGTATTCAATTGCAGTTGAGTATTTGGGTTATGATCTTTCTCCTTTTTAGGTCTATGTGCTCGGCAGTTCAAGAATTAACAGCAGATCATCTGAGGGACCTACTACCTCATATTAATAAAGGTACAAGTGCTTGCTCCTGTAGGTCATAAATTTCTACACTATTGAACCAGTGCTTTTTGTGTTTGCCTCATCTTGACAATGAATTGCAAGTCCTTCAGGTTTACTGAAGTTACATGATTCTTTTGCAGCTTCCAAGAAAAGGAAGGCTTCTAAACAGGAAATGGACTTGGTTGAAACTCTGGATGGGCTTGATGCACTTGCTCATCTCGCTATCCTAGAAGAGGGAGAGACCCTTCCAGCATCACCACAGGCCACAACTAAGCATCCACGTCATAGACCTGGGTGTACATGCATTGTCTGCATCCAGCCCCCTAGTGGAAAAGGTCCTAAGCATAAGCAATCATGTGATTGTAACGTCTGTAAATCAGTAAAGCGTCGTTTCAAAACATTGATGTTGAAGCGTGAAAAAAAGTTATCAGAGAAAGAAGCAGAAGCTACTTGTCAAAAGCTGCAGCCGCAATCAGCTGGGCAATTGCTTGATGCTGATGACATTCAAGAATCTATTGATGATGCAGCGCATTTAAGCCCTCAGCATGGAGAGCTGAACAATGAAGGTTCAGTTGATCCCAATTACCTTAATGAGAAGAAATCTTTTGTTGATGATCCCAATTACCTTAATGAGAAGAAATCTTCAGTTGATGATCCCAATTACCTTAATGAGAGGAAATCTTCTGTTGATGATCCCAATTACCTTAATGAGAAGAAATCTTCCGTTGATGATCCCAACTCCCTGAATGAGAAGGAGTCTTCTGTTGATGATCCCAACTGCCCGAATGAGAAGAAATCTTCTGTTGATGATCCCAACTGCCTGACTGAGAAGAAATCTTCTGTTGATGATCCCAACTACGTGGATGAGAGGAAATCTTCTGTTGATGATCCCAACTACGTGGATGAGGGGAAATCTTCTGTTGATGATCCCAATTACCTTAATGATAAGAAATCTTCTGCTTCACCATTTAAAGGTGAATTTGACCTGAATGCTAAGCCAGAGAGGGACGACGAGCTTTCACCAGGCTCTGATTCTGGTAGCATGATACACATAATCAAACGTGCTGCAGAGCAATATGTCAGGCACTGTGAGAATGGAAGTTCCGTGGGTAACCAAATAAATGGAGAAGGCGCTGGGGAGACAAATCCGAGTAATTGTGTTATTGTTAGTGGTAGTCAACAAACTGATGTAGATCATAATAGGCCTTTACCCATAAGCACTGCTGCATCTTTGGCACCTAATGACCAGTAAGATGCTCCTACATGAGGCACCTAAATTAGCTGTGCTATATAAAAAACCAGAGGTACTCCGCAGTGTTAGGGAATTTGTATATGTTGGCTTTGCTGGCGTCATGCATTGTACATAGAAAAACGTAGCAAGTAGCAACTGATGTAATCTTTCCGCTATGCACAGGTTACATTTTGCAATGGCCGCGAGGTGCCTTGCATATTTATTATAAATACCTGGAAAGGTTTTGGAGTTCAATCTTTGTGTGAAAAATGCGTTTTGGTGTGTCTGAAACTCTCACAAGTTCTGGGAGAGTAAGGGGATTTGAATCTTGGAACAAGCTTGAAGAAGTTGCCTAGTGCTAACTAGCCACTAATTCTTTTGGTTACCCTTGTCACAGAAAGAATAGTATAGTGTTGTAGGCTTGTTAGACCTCATTTGGGATTCAAAGCTTGTAGGACTTTATTAGAACCACAGAGATAGAGAAAGACCAAAAGAAGACGGAGAAGTATTGTCCAAGCCTTATAAGAAGCTAGAATTCTCTTCTCGTACCATATGAAACCGTCTTCATCAATATAATATTTCAAAAATAAAAATACTCCAGTCAGTTGCCATCACCGTCTTCATCATAGTTGCATGTTCGATCCCTATAATACACTACAAGCACAAAATTAGTAGGTAAACCAATTGAGCTTACAACTTGTGTCTAATCATGTGATTTTACCTCAAAATATAATTATGACAAGTGAGGATAAACACATCAAATTCTTTCTTTCTATTTTCTTACATATATATGTGTGATGTAACGTGAGATTGGCTTTATATCCATATTCTTTTTAGCTGTGCCGGAAAATTTGACTCAAAAGATTTTAGAGAATATGCAAGTTGGAAAATCTAAGGTTAATCCAAATCCACCGACAATTCCATTTTGTGAACTCCCAAACAATTATGTTAGTTGTAAGTTGTCATCCGTTTTGGTCCCCCTTCTCTTGTCACTGAAATAAATGTGACCCACCCCATATCCCTCAGAAAAATAAAAAACCAAATAAAGAAAGAAAAAATTGAAGATGCATTACCCGATGTCTGGTACTCATATTGAAACCCGACTAAATCAAATTCGTCGAAAAGTCTCATTGGAGGATAAAGTGCTCTCTAACAAAGGTGATTTCGTATCCGAAGAGACTTAAATCCAAGATCTATTAGCTTCATTTTCATGTATTGATGGTATAAAATTACTTATACAAATATATTTTTATGGTAAAAAGTAAATTGGTAATTTGATTAAAAAAATACCCTACTTATTGTCATAAAATTAAATTGTATACCATTATGGCCTTCATATGGAGCTTTCATTTTCGTGGTGTTATTTTATACCAGTAATCAAATCATGAAGTTTAAAAGTATCTTCTATATACTAATAAATACACCATTCATAACAACTGTAACTGCTATATTTTCATTTTTTTATTCATTTAATAAACTATAACAAATAAAAGAACAATTCACTGTTTTTAAAGCTTTCCTATACTTTCTATACAATAAAAACTTTCCTATACTTCCTATTTTTACTATAAAAATCAAACAAAAAAAACAAGTCACTCAAAAGCCTAAAAGCTAAATACAAATTGCAAATTCATTTTCTTTTTTTCAGTCAACCTTTTTTTTTAAAAAGGAAAAAAGTCTTTTTAAAAAAGTAAAATTAGTAAAACTAAGTAATTTAGACTCCACGGTTAATCATCTCCATGTACTGCTGCATAGACTGTTGCCTCTGTAATCTCATATCTTCATTGAACTTTTTAATAAACGCCTCCACTTTCCGATTCAACTCATCGGAGCTCAGCGACGGATCCTTCCAGATCTTCACAGCCGGCGGCGACCGTGAATACGACGGCGAGACATAGTTTGTTCGGTCCTTGAAAGTCTCCGACTTAAGCACGTGCCTCTGGTGGTGGTGCTGCGGTGGAAAGGTGGTGGAATTCTCGTTTTTCTCCGGAGCGTCGTCGTCCACGGCCGCCACGTGACGCCCGTGAATGTGAAAGGTGTCTGATTTCTTCATATGCCTCGTGAGTGGCACGTGACGGCCCTCTGTTATCATTTTCCATGTGTTCTCTAATGTCTCTGGCTTTTTCGACCGCGACACTTTCAGTGACTTCACTCCTGAAATTATCCATTGTTGTAACATATTTTAGCTTCAAAAATTTTACCGATTGAAATAAGATGAAATGCGTGATGAATGCCACCGTTTCGAACTGAATTTTAACTGTGCAACATAAATTGAGAAATGTGTGTACTTTTCACGTACCTTCCGGACTCATTTTCACAGCAGGTTTTCGGTTACCGAATCTGGAAGAAACCAGAGGTTTTTCCGTCGCCGGTACTAGAAGAAACTCATTTTTAGTTTCAATTTCCGGCAACGGAGAGACAACAGATTTCGAAATCACTATCGCTTCGCTTGCATCAGGCTCATCGATCACGTCTTCATCTCCATGATTCATAACCACGACGGAGCCGTTCACCAGTACTGGCTTAACCTCAAACACCTGCGGTTCGTCCACCGGTACAGGCACGGCCTCAAACACCTTCACTTCACTTTGGACTGAATGAAGCTCCGATTGAGTAATCGCTATCAAATCTGACTGCGGAGGTGTTCTAGCGGTAATCAACGGCTGGAATTGATCGTCGGAGCTGGACTCCTTATGGTTCGACGTGCGAGAAGTGGCGACGATAATGAGGATTATACCATTGATAACAAAGTAGAGATACGGAGGCTTAAGCCAAGCTATAACTACACTCCAAATTGCTGGGAGCTCATAATAAATTAATGGAATCGACGCTTTTGCTACCATCGCTAAGGAAATTGCACCAATTGATATTAGCACAACCTTAATCGATAGAATTAAACTGTTCGACATTTTCTTCGATAATCTTATCTTAATTTTTTGCTTTTCCGGTGAGTTTTCCGGTGAGTGAAGAAGCAGGTGAAGTGGATTGGTTATGGAAAAGTGCGTTGGGGATTGAGGAGTATAAATAGTGTGGGAGGGATCCGGGTAAGGGACGCGGTTTGTAGTCTGTGATGCAATCTGGACCGTTGATTCTGTGCTGAGCTGGTACAAGAGTTGCCACTTGTGAAGGATGAGGGCTGGCCCACGTGTTGGCTGATTTACAGGTACTTAGTAATCGTTCTGTTACTTAATGATATTAATGTCCCAGAAAATTATTTTTTAAATCTTTTTGGTAAACAAAACAGTCAATTTTTGTACAGAAAATGAGTTTTCAAATATCTTTAGGTTGAGTTCAAACTGATAATGATGCTTGAAAATTGAACTATTACTAATTAATCAAAAGAATATCAAATTACTATAAAAGAGACTTTGAGTAACAAAAAAATATTTTCGTGTGAGGTAGGTGGTGAGTTTGAACTGTAAAAATAACTATTAATGCATGTATTAGAGTAAGTTGTCTATATCACACCTATTAGGTCGGCCTTTTCTTAAACCTCAATTATTGATTTTTTAGTGAGAAAGAAAATAGAAAAATTGGTGTACTTGAGTCTTTTCAAGGTCAAAAATCAACTTTAGAATTGTTTCATGTGAAAACATAAATAAGCCAGCATAAATGGATTTTTAAAGGAACCAAATTATTGCACCCCAACTGTTGGACTAATTTCATCTTTCTTTTCAATTATTTTTCTCCTAGATGAGATTTTCTTTCGTCAAGTTCAAATAAAGCTCATAAGGCTACAAGTCGTATATATTAGATTTTATTTCCAAAAATGATAATTAATTTACTAACAAAGAGTTAGCTGACCAATTGTCACTATGCTATTATACTTGGACTTCTGCAATTTGAGTTTTGATTTGCTCAACTACGAATAATTTCTATCAAAGTTTTTTTTATTTTTGTTAAATGAATACTATGCCGCGACTTTGAATTAATCTTGATAATTGAGAAAATAGAAAAGAAAAGTAATTTATTCCACGAATGTTGTGTGGTGTAGCAGTGAATTGAATGCAAGTGTAACTCAGATGTGGCAGAAAATCTTTCTAGAAATATAAAGTTGCTGCAAAAGTCAGGTAAATTTACTTGAGGGTATTATTCTTTGAGGTGTCAACTTTTGAATATTTAGGAAAAAATAGTGACAGCCACACACAATCACTTTATAACGGTCTATTTAAGTACCGTTAGTAGCGGAACTTTTGTAGCGTGATTTCTAAGCCCGGCCCTATGGCTGCGCTCTTGGCTACATTCTCTCAATGTATCCACTATCCACCAACCATTCCAATATTAATATCAGGAGATGAAGTCAAAATCTAAAATTTATGAGTTCGAAGTTTCAATTTTACTAAGTTATTAGGTTTTAAATTGAAATTTTGTACATATTTAATAGATATTTTAAGATAAATATAAAGTTTGAATCAAAGCTACTGAATTCAATTGAACCACACTATAGCTCCATTCATACATATATCCTTTGGTCGTGAGCCCCACCTAGAGGGAGACGTAACATTAAATCTATCTCGCCTATCAGAGGTTTGAAATTTTAGAGCAAAAATTATTGAGTTAAATCTGAACTTCTAGCTCTGTCCCTGCTATTCACAAACACAACTAGGATTGTGAACCCCATAAATGGGGTACACCCTCTTAGCCGACCAATTTACCTTTTTGCTAAGATTGCTACTTTTCTTCGATCACCAAATCTCCTCAATTTGGGATTGGAATGGAGTGACGATTGCCTTATCCTAAACTTCCATGGAGGGTTTAGTAGGAAGCAGATGCATATTTTTGAATTATAAGTGAATATGAAATATCATTATTTCATTATAATTTTTTTTAAAATGTAAAAACATGTTAATTGTTTTATTTAGGGAATGTAATTAATTGTGGTTCGTCAGCCTTTAATTAATTTGCCTATAGTTAAATTAAAATCTAATTGCTAAATTATCTCTTCATTAAATTTTGAATAATTATTCATGTGCCCTACACCGAGTGTAGGATTGTCAAAAAGGGAAGGGAAATAACATAAAATATACAACTTAGCCCTCTAAAGAGTGAAAGTGACCTTTTTGGTCCTACAAAGATTAAGTGCTTAATTGCTTTGTTCTTTATTCTATTTTTAAGGTGGCAATAATTTTCTTTGGGTCCAGTTGAGAATTGATTAACTAGTATTTTGTTTCTTTATTTAACACTGGAGTTTTTTTTTTTCATTAGTCTATTTCAAAGAAAATAACAATTTTTACCTTTTCTTAATGAGATATATATTTTTATAGCCACACAATATATATATAATTACAAGTTCTCAAAATTATATAGTCACACAAATATATATTATGTATATTTAAATTACTTGATATTAGTATAATTTTTGTTTTTATATATAAGAATATAGAATCTCTCCCTATAATGTTATTTTATGATTATCTAACATCACATAAGTGATGAGATAGAAATTAAAAGTGCACATATATTATAAGTTAAATAGGGATTATTAATTAGGTGTTGATTTAGACTATGAACCAGTCAATATATAATCAATTCCTCAAGGAATCTTATTAATTATCATATGTTTGATTTTCTGAATTATTAGTAGGTATAGAGTCTCTAATCAAGATATAGTTTACCAAATTTATGCTCAAGATTAATTATCCCTTGCCAGTACTGATTACGTACTCTACGTCTATGACTCTATGCCAAAGGTTAAAATAGAGCAGACTCCACCTAATCGATAAATCTTATACGGAAAAGAGGTCAAAAATATTTGTAATATATTATAAATGGTTTTATAATATTCTTTATCTATTTATTGTTTTAATTTTATTTCTTCTTTTACTTGTTGGATAAAAATATCTTTTATGTATTAGAAATGACCTAAAAATACTTTTATTTTATCTATTGGATCAAATTTATGTCTTATGTAGTTTTCACTCATATAATTAATTAAAATAGGGTTTGTGCTGAGTTGGATCATGAATGGATTTGAATTCAACACATGAATTATAAGGGGAAAAAATCACGCACATTCGATATTTGCACGAAGCAAATAAAGATATACATAATGCGTGTCTTCTTAAACTTTAGTCACTTAAATTAACAATGTTAATAAATCCCAAACTGTAAATCATTTATGAAAATTCCTCAATAATATGTAGGTTTACTTTAATTTGCAATTGTTATGTATTGCTTTATTTGACGTAAATATTAAGTGTAAGTATTATTTGAAAAAAGGTGAATATATATGAGAAAAACATTTATTATATTAACTATTTTAAGCTCCAGGTTTAGTTACATTCTTCACCGACGCTCGTCAAATATATCACTCATCCTCATCCTCATACTGCTCCCTTTTAGTTTTGGTCAAGTTACGGGTATGATTGATGACGATAGAAGGAAAAATACGAAAGAAGTAAATAGGAAGTTTCATTTATTATTTGTCTGAGGAAGAAAATCCACCTTGTTAATTAGCACCGTCCATTTAATCAGGAACTGCCACCTCGTCACATAATTTTTTTTATTATAAAAATAAAAAATAAAATTAGGAGCCATGGAAGAAAAAATCAAAAGAGAATTACAAAATCGAAAATTGAAAATTAAACTCTAGCCAACCAATTGAGTTATATGTACTGAGAAAAGAAAATAAGAAAATATACATTTCGTCGGAGATAGAAATATATTTCCTAATAGACTTAATTAGAATTTTGCTAATGTCCCACAAGTTTCGAATGCAATTATAGTAATGGAGAAATAAATAAATGCATGAACCTAAAACTGAAGTTGATTGACATAATAATTCAGATAATTTTCCCTCTACTTTAATCTACAGTTTTTTCAATATTTTAAAAAATAAATATAAAATGTAAGGTATTTTGAAAAACTACTGTAATATTTTTGTTACATAGTAATTTTAATTAATATTGGGTCCCTGAAGATAGTGACTAGTAAATATAAAGCATATTAAAATTAGGTGGGGCATAATAACATTATGTATAATATCTTGTTACTTATTTTACAAGAGCTTATTTATTGAGTTCCTTTGACAATATGAGAAATAAATAAATGCATGAACCTAAAACTGAAGTTGATTGACATAATAATTCAGATAATTTTCCCTCTACTTTAATCTACAGTTTTTCAATATTTAAAAAAATAAATATAAAATGTAAGGTATTTTGAAAAACTACTGTAATATTTTTGTTACATAGTAATTTTAATTAATATTGGGTCCCTGAAGATAGTGACTAGTAAATATAAAGCATATTAAAATTAGGTGGGCATAATATTGACATTATGTATAATATCTTGTTACTTATTTTACAAGAGCTTATTTATTGAGTTCCTTTGACAATATGAGAAGTATATCCCATTCATCGTCAAATAATTAAATTAGTATCTTTACGTGATTTTAAAACATTCTTTAAAATTGAATTCACTTTAAACTACTTGTTGATTTGATTATTTAAATTTCTTTGAAATGATGTACTTTATTTATTTATTTAGTTATTCAATATAAACGTAGTTCGCCGTTACACACTTTCATCATTTCTTTTACTATCCAAACAGTAAAAAAATTATTTTCTTTGTTCTTTTATTATTATAAATGACAGTTAGATTTTAACTTCAAATCTTTATAACTATCTCAACTACAACTTGTATAATCATTTATTTCTAAAACAAAAAAGAGGGACTTATATCATTTCTTTTACTGGCCAAACACGTAAAATTTATTTTCTTTATTATTATTATTGTGAATGATAGTTAAATTTGAACTTCAGATATTTATAACTATCTCAACTATAACTTGTATAATTATTTATTTCCAAAACAAAAAAAAAGGGAGAGTAGAGAAAAGTTACGTTGATGAGGGGAAGTGTAGGAAGGAGACAAAGTAGGAGTCTAATTATACATTTTATTTTACAGTTGGGAAGCACCTAATTTATTGTAGACTTTTACGTGTTCATGGATAATGAATATACTATACTATATAC